TTTTATCGTTTCTCGGGTTGCTCCGCCGATCAAAATAAATAATCCGAGGCAGAAGTTTCGCTATTTTGTAGCCGGACAAGATAAAAGTTGTAGAAACTCGCTCACGACACACGGACTCGGGCACGCACACATGAAACGGATGCACCTGCTGGCCGCGCCGCGCGCCGCGCGCCGCGCGCCTCGACCGCGGCGAGCACTCGAGCGCCGATCTCGATATCGGGATCGGGAGCTCGAACGACAGCCACTCGTAACGCAGGACCGCTCGTCCTTGCAACCTGCCAGGATCCTTGCCCCTCGGTGTTGCGTCAATCGGTGTCCGCGTGCCTCTTTCTCTCCGCGATCGTGCAATCCTTCATATCACTCGGAAATACCTTCCATTAATTATCCCCGCGGACATTTATCGCGGCCGTTCCGCGCGATTTTCGACGGACGATCGATAAAACCATCCGTTCCGCGAGTCGAACTTTATCGCTTCCTCGTCCCTCCAATTTTGAAAGATTCGACCGCGTTCTTTTTACCCGTCCGCTGGAAAAACTGGTCCTGCAAAAATATTAATTCCAATATTCGGCCGCGATCGTCCGACCCGTGAAATACTAATTTATTCATTCATTTATTCAGTTAAACATATACGAGAAATTCTCCGTTGGTTTTAATGTCAAAGAGCACAGTGGTTTACTGTGAAATAGTGGTGAAAGGTTAAATAAAAGAATGGTAAGATATTCCGAAATTCCATGATCCTAGGACGCTTAAGATTTCAGGTCTGCTTAAGGCTGAGTCGTTTCGTATCCGTGTAAGAAAAAGTGCTACAGATATTATTTTTTCTTATTTATTTTTCTATAGAATATCGTTAAATAATACGTTTAGGTAATTATTATGTAATAAAATAATAGAAATGTGTAGAAGAACATTGTTAGAGCAAAACATGTTTAAAATGCTGTGGACATTTTTTAAGCTACCCTTAGACGTGCTAGGAGTTACCTATAATATGAGCCGTTTATTTTGAAAGTGGCATAAGTCACTTTGTTTTTAAGTCGAGATATTTAAGGGTTTGCGTTTTAACACGTTTAAAAATATGGATGCTAACTTTCGAGAAGATTTACTTGTATTTGTTATCTCAGGATACTGATATTTTTCTCAGTATAAATAATTTTGTATAAACATTAAAAAATCACCACTTTTCATTACGGTAAAGTGACTTGAGCCACTTTCAAAATAAATAGTTTAGAAAAATGACTGACATATATTAATTTTGTCCGACGTATTTTACTGAAGTGATGTTTTGAAAGGACAGTGATTTACTAAAATTGTTGAATAAATTTGATTTAAGTATTTATTATTTTATTATTCATAAAATACAAAAATAATTAGTACATTTTGAAACATAAGTATAAGTAATTGATATGAAAATACATCAGTTCAATTTAATTTTCGTCATCAATAGGAGTGATTAAGTCCTCGGAAATCGTGTTTTGTTTCAAATTTTTTAAATAACTGTGGTATATTGGGGGTATATAATTAAGCAAGTCCATCATGTCTTTGTATTTTGCTGAAGAAACAGGACGAGATCCAGCGTATAACGGATCCATTTCTATTTGTGAATAACGCCTAGGTCTTCCTCTTTTTGGTGACAAATCCAAAGTTAGAAATTCATCTTTTTCATCTAAAGTTAGTTTATAAAACATTTGATAGCCATCTGCTGGCGGGTCTGGAGGTAGCCGCCACATCTATATAATATAATTTACAAAACTGCACTATTCTTTCGCACTTATAAAAATAAGTCCAGTGATCACAACTTTTTTAAAAATACTGAAAATAATTCAAAACAATACTTCACACACACTTATCACACGTTTCTACTTCTTTTACACTAAGTCCCGCAATTTATTTCCTGAGTACAGCGACTTACGCCACTTTCAAAATAAACATGTTTGTTATACCGTTAATTAGCAAAACTTCTCTCGAACAAATCTCAATAGTTCTCAAATTATTGATTGCAAATTTTTTAAAAATAAAAAAATACCGTTCGATTGTAATTAGTGTTAACCTTAAATTGGTTTTTTTTNACACACTTATCACACGTTTCTACTTCTTTTACACTAAGTCCCGCAATTTATTTCCTGAGTACAGCGACTTACGCCACTTTCAAAATAAACATGTTTGTTATACCGTTAATTAGCAAAACTTCTCTCGAACAAATCTCAATAGTTCTCAAATTATTGATTGCAAATTTTTTAAAAATAAAAAAATACCGTTCGATTGTAATTAGTGTTAACCTTAAATTGGTTTTTTTTTAAAAGTGACTTATGTCACTTTCAAAATAAACGGCTCATATGTTAAATCTATACAGATTCTAATAACGTTGCTAAATTGTTTTAAGCAGTACGGCTTAAATTCCGTTGGAAAGGGCGCAGCGGGTGATTGAAGAAATCGATGGATGAATATACGCTATTCACATTAAATAACACGTGACTAAATAAATAACGCACCCAGTGCGTTATCCATAAGTCGTCCCGTGTTTCAGAACATCGAGAAATTTGTCTGGATTTCAGCGATGAACTTATCGCGATAGGGTGCTGGTACAATTGTACAACCATTTTCTAATATTAGCCTGACTAGAGAATAGTATAGAAAGAATTTAGCAACATTATAAATGAGTTCCGATGATTTCTAGCTGTCGGAGATTATATTTTTCTAATGTTTCACAAATGTTAGATCGGAGAAAAGATAATACCAAGGACGATTATTATTTTAGCGGCAATTAGAGTGTATTTGGTATCGAAATTATTCATCCTGCGACTGAATCTTACGGTATAACGTCTATCAAGATTAAGCGACAATTTGTTTAAAGTAAGAAAGCACTGTCATGAATGAGACACTTTTGTTTAGGAGAAGCTAACAAAAATAATAAATATTCTATCTTAATCTAATTTGAAACATTCAAGAGATCAGTTCTTTTACTATAAGAATGCATAGTGTCGGCGAGTTTCTCCTACGTTTACCTGTTTTAAATAATGCATTTGACTCCGTTTAACAATTGTTCGCATTGAATGGGTCACATACTAATCTTAAATTAAACCTTTGAGTCAATATTATATTTCAGTATTTCATGACAAAAGATAATCTTTCCAATAAACAGGAACTGAAAAAGGTTAACAAAAATTCCTGAATAGAAACATCTTAAAAATTAATGACATTTACTACAGACCTATAATATTCCCTGCGTCCCGTTCATAAACTTTATGACAACGTTAAAAATTTAACTTGCTTCATTGCTGTGATAAAAAAGGCTAACCTCGATGCTATATATAAACATCCTCGAAGAAATGTTTAAGAAATAAAGAAATAAAAAGAAATTTTAATCGAGTGCAATAAATAAAAACTCATAGTTGTGATATAATTACAAAAAACAAGCATAATTTTATTACAGAAAGATTCACAAATTTTGAGATAATGGTAATGTTCCATTTAATATGTATGACACTCGTGATAGTTCTCCTCTACAACAATGCAGAAGTCCATCCAAATCATGTTTGCCTCATACGAGGCAGCTCAAACAGGGTTATCAATGACAAGAAATATTTTTTAAATCTCCAGCACTTACACAAACGAAATACCTTTTCGACGCTCTATGGCAGCAATAATTCTATAAATCGATTATTCACATTTGCAAATCGCTTCAGTGATTCTCTAGATTTCTTTTGCAGCTCACTTCATACTTGAAAAAATTCTGCTTCGCGTGCTGCGCGCCGTGCCAAACGCTTTTCAGATACCTGGATTTTACATTATTATTACTTTATTACGTCATATCATATTCACATAATTTTCCTTATTTCCGTTTTTCTTCTCCACGTTTGCACTACGTTCGACTGTTACGGTATTTTTGTATTGTATAACACAAGGTTTCGTCGCGTCAAACAAATAAATATTATTCTTACTATCAGCATTATAAAAACAATAAAAAGATCGAAAGCAAGCCCTAAAGTATGGTTTTAAATTGCCGGCCGAAACGCGAGTAGTTTCAAAGACCAATTTCTCTCTATTTCCGATCCCGGCAAAAGTGCATTCGGATCCCCAGAAAAAAAAAGATGCACTATAGTTTCTTGCGGCAATAACTCCTCTGGCCAGCGTCTTAACACTGTTGCTGAAACGATCGCTCCGTCCAGTCTCCATTTCCGTCGATCGCATTAACGACCGAAACCTAGATTTCAATCTCACAACAGTGAGTACTTAGTACGACACAGGTTGCAGCGAGCCGTTGTATCTATCATCGAGAATTATTTATCGCGATGCACGTAGAGTAGAACCGGGACGACGATAAAAAGGACTCGGTATATCGGCGCCGATTTTTCCGGCGATACCTATTTCCGTAGCATCGCATAATGTTCTCTAATTATTACCCTTTTAATCCAGATTGATCGCTGCGATAAGCGCAATCAGAATTCTCAGGATTTTGCAACGTTTCTTTGTTATTATTAGTCGCCGGTTGCGCTCGATCGTTGCGTCGATCCATTAGCCATACATTTTTTTCTCTCTTTATCTCTCTCTCTCTCTCTCTCTCTCTCTCTCTTCCTCTCCTTTCTCTCGATATTTCAGCGTATCCTAATTGACGTATTATCTACGGCTAATTGTTCCAGTGAGTGGCGAGCAGGGGATCTCTCGCCACTTTTTACCCGCCTGGTCCGTCTCGTAAATAAATAAATATTATTCCGGCTGATACAGTCGCTTTCTAATTTAGCAGGCGACTATTACCGACAGTCGTGTTCCGGCTTTCGATCGCTCGCGAAAATGAAAATAAAACGGAGGGAATACCGTGGCCGTTCAAAACTGGATCGCGCTCGCGAGCGGACGATCTATTTGCAACTCGTTAACGCGGCACGGCGCGGCTCGCACCTTGACGATTGTTTACCGGAAATCAATGCAGAAACCTGTCCACGGTTTATTGGATCAAGGCGACGCAGGAGACCGCTCGGAGACGATTCTAACGCGATCGATGATTCCAGGGGAGGATCAATACCGAGGCGCCGGAGGATCCAGTAGCGGGAGCCCGCCGGCGAGTTTGCTGGTGGTCCCGCAACCTTTGACCGTCAAACCCTCTCATCCGTCGCACCTGAACCCTCACCTGGGCGGACCGCACTCCCATCCGCCGAGAAAGTACCAGTGCAAGATGTGCCCACAGGTGAGTCCGCTCGATTCTTAATTTTTCTCCAATCACTGGACTGCGGATTTTATGCATTTGATACTAAAAACGAGTAGATCGAATGCGAAACAACGAAACAAAACGAGACACTTAAACGATTCGAAGATACAATTGTATCGATGTCGACTTATTAATCCTTTGTATTCGAACAGCGACTGTACGGTAGCTTTGAAAATAAAGTATATAATTTTTCGAAATAGTTTTCGCGCGATTCTTGTTATATTGGGTCGTTCGGAAAGTTGTTTCGTTCTTTCGCGAGAAAATAAAAGACGATTTTGTAATGTTTCAAAAAAAAGAACCTTCAGACATTTTTCTGGTGTTTTCAAAATCTTATCTCGTAGAAGCCCCGTCGTTTGCTGAATCACGTGCTTCTTTCACGAGCTTACGAAACGAAATTTTTTTTGCGAAACGAAACAACTTTCCGAACGACCCAATATTTAAAATATCGTTAAAAGCGTAATTGTTGCATGGGTCAATAGGCTAAATATCACGTGCACAAAATGTGATAAATCATATAAAATTGGAATATTGAAGGTCGAGAGAAACGTCTTGATTTAGGAGTCACAATCGATGTTCTCAGGAAAATAAGTTACGTTAAAATAAGTTAAGTTAAGGAGTGGGGACAGCCGAGGCATGCGCGACGCAACGTAGAGCCTCTCTCTCATCGCAGTTCAGAATTACCGCCATCTACCTCACTCCTTGCGTAACTTATTTTCCTACAAACACTGGTCAAAATAGCTTCGAGTACAAAGGGTTAACGTGTTGGATGTTGCGGGGGTCACCGGTGAAGCCGAGATTGCTAGAAACACATCATTCGGAATATTCAATGATTTTAAATGTATCAACGTATACAGGGTGGTTTTAAATGTATCATCTTAGAGCTTCTTGTAAACTACATATTGTAGACAAAAATGTTTGGAACAAAAGTTGCTCGTTATAAAGAGGAACATACACGGCAACGATTAATTTTGTTACTATCTTTCTTTTCTATCAGAATGCGGAGGTCACACCTTGAACTTTTTAACTATAATTATTATAATTTTATTTAACTATTATTATTATTATTATTATTATTATTATTATTATTATTAATTATTATTATTAATTGTTATAACTATAATGCACGTTATTTAATCGTGCCATTCGAAGGTCTGTTAAATACAGAATAAAAAGTTATTAAAGTGCAAGGGTTCAGAAATTAATGTTTATCGAGATATTCCTTAGTTGATTTTGTAATACAAGAAATGTTCAAAATGTTGTCCATTACAGTCAGTGCAAGAATGTAGACGATTGAACAATGCGACACATGTGTGTTTCGATAGTTATTCAAGGCGAGCCTCGTATTTAAAAAAAAATAAGGAAAATAGCAATAAATTAATTGTTGCCGTGTTTGCTCCACTTTCTGCCGAACAGCTTTTCTTCGAAAGATATTTTTATACAACACGCAGTTTGCAAGAAAAATTAAGGTGAAAGTGTGAAACGATTCTTACGATCGCATAATAACAAACGTAACAATAACGTAATATTTCGTTAAACCGTAAAATATTCAAGTTGGCCAAACAGGCAAGCCATGTAAAATTAGCGTGGTAGCCAACGTAATTAAGCGAATTATTGAGAAAAGAAGTAAAACATTTAGAACGAAGACAATTCTTGTTTTGCACGAAGATCCGCGATGTAGTGTAATCGCTATCGCGAAATCGGAAACTCGAGCCAACAATCGTGTCGTCAATTCTGGCTTCCGTGAGTACCGTGAGGTTCGGAGGTACAGTTATCCGATCTGCGCCGAGAGGTTTTTAAGGAAGCGAAAAGAACGCAAATTCGTGGGGTCAACCGACATGAGCTGCAATTAAATCGGTAAAGAAACGAAGTAGACCGGTGGAGGACGTAACTGCGCATTCTTGTGCCGATAATGGCTCGTTTTATAGCGATTCAACCCTTTGCGGGCCGTTCTGGGCCCACCCTGAGGCTTCCTCGCACAGTAGTGGCTGATTTTTACCGCAGGTACATTCGTAAAGGCCGCGATTCAACAAAGCCACGAGGGTTATTCGGCTCTCGCCACTCTGTTGTAAAACACCGGCCATTCATGCCGGCAACCACTTTTCTTCGCTCCCGGTGTAATACACCGTGGGGCCGACGGCGACGTCGACGACAACCTCGACGGCTACCAGAGAGGGGACGAACCATGACCAGAGAGACAGGCTTTCTTCTCTCACGGTTTCCCCTGCTTCGCTGTCTGTCGCGCACTCGAGCCACCCTTCGAGCCACCCTTCGACCCTTCGCAAGCTCAATCTTCGCGACTTCTAAAGCTTTGAGTCGCTTTTCTGATCATTCTTGCTCTTTGTCTTTTCTATTTCTCTCCTCCCCCCCCCCCTCCTACGGGCCAGCTTTGTTCGATGATTAATTTCCACCGGGAATGCTTTGGCTTAGTTTTCTTGCATCGCCGGCCGGAAGAATGCCAAATTTAATTTATTGTTCAATCTAAAATATAATAATTATATAATAATTATTTAATCATTTTTATTTAATAACAATTTTTTTATATAATAATTATTTAATAATTTTTATTTAATAATAATTTTTTTATATAATAATTATTTAATAATTTTTATTTAATAATAATTTTTTTATGTAATAATTATTTAATAATTTTTATTTAATAATAATTTTTTTTATATAATAATTATTTAATAATATTATTATATAATTATATAATAATTTGTTTAATTGACGGAAATCAATTCTTTCATTACAAGTACAATTGTTATATATTATGTACTAGCCGCGAACAAAATGTATTCGGACATTTTCTAAAATGCAGTTACTTTTAATTATAAGTTGAAATTCATTTTGCTTAATTTTGCTGTTACTTGCAATGACAAAAAGAATAAAAAACTCCCGTTTTCTTTTCACTTTTTTTATCCGAACCTGAAACGAAACTTTGGAAAATGCGTTTTGTAAATTTCGTCGAAATCGGTTGACCTTGAAATAAGCTGTAAACAATTGAATATCATGAAAATCGCGGTCTTTTAACGATTTCAATCAAAACAGGTAATTCTTACATTTGTCAATGTCTAATAACGTCAGCCGATGTCGATGAAATTTTCAGCGTGCTTGTAAGTTACCGAGATCTACATTTTTTAAATTTTCGTGAAACTCGGATGAAAAAGTTGAAAAGTGTTTTTTCTATTTTTCTATTTTCTTTTGGCATTCCAAGTAATGACAAAGTTTCGGAGAAGGTATTTAAACCATTATACAGTAAACTAGACTCTCTCTGACATCCCCAACAAATTGTCAGTCATTTTGTCCAGTTTTAAAAAAGTTATCGCACTTAAGAAAGTGTTCGATTACTTTTTGCCAGGGATTGTACAATCTGATCCTTACGGCGACGGTGATGCGGTAATATGAAAAGACGATGAAATAAAGTAAACCAGAGTATGTAATACAAAACAAAGAAATAAATGATGTAGGAAAATAGAAAAATAGAAACGAAATTAATGAATTCGAATATATTGAAAGATGCCATTAAGATTTTTAATTACTCTTGATAACCAAAGGCAGCTGTGGAAGTAGAGAGAAAGTGAACGAAGTACAGAATTCGCAAGAATACAGATCCGAGCAATAAATTTCTACTCAGTAAACAACTACTATACAGTAAATTCTCTCCAGTTGTCCCTTAGCTTGTAAAAAAGAAATGGACAATTTGGAAAGAGGCACGTTTTTATAGCCTTGGTAGCCTATAACTATAAAAACGAGCTGCAAAGATCGAACAATCGTACCTCCACTTACCGAAGGACCCATTTTTGTGGGCAAAATGAGCGTCGATTAGGTAAAAATTTACTAAACATGAGTCATTTGTGTAGCATTCTGGGTATTACATTGAAATGAACGTACAAAAGAATGGCAGGGATTATATGCAGTTTATTAATGATTTTATAAAGAAAAGTGAGATCAGGATTAGTATTATACAGAATGCTTTATATATATATACATTACAGTATATATATATAGCATTATATTTATATATATTATATAATACAATATAATAATATATAAGCAATATTAAGCATAAATATAATGCCATATATATGCTTATATATTAATATGCATTATATTTATATATATTATATAATATAATATAATAATATATAAGCAATATTAAGCATAAATATAATGCCATATATATGCTTATATATTAATATGCATTATATTTATATATATTATATAATATAATATAATAATATATAAGCAATATTAAGCATAAATATAATGCCATATATATGCTTATATATTAATATGCATTATATTTATATATATTATATAATATAATATAATAATATATAAGCAATATTAAGCATAAATATAATGCCATATATATATATATATACATTATAAATATTATAGCATATATTACATATATACAGAACTGAAGTGATTTGAAGTCACTCCGTCATTTGCGAGAATGTAGGTTATCGGTCGTTAACGAGTTATTAACGAAAAACACGGACCAATCAGAAAGCGTTTTCTGATTGATCCGCGTTGTTACGAAACAATCACTCGAAATCATCTTCAAGAATCATCCAATTCCGAGTGTAACGGAAGTTCTGGGACACTTTGTGTACAATTGCCTCGCTACCAATATTCGATGCGGTTGGAATATTTGCAGTTTTATTCTGTTGGAGCGTCAAAGGGTTCTCGCCGCACTGAAAATATTCGAAGAGGGTGAATAAATAGATTGTTCTTCGGCAGGAAATCGAGTGTTCCAGGCTTCTGAAAGAATAATGTAAATTGCTCACTCAACAACGAACCATCGAGGATACCGTGCACGGTGTTATTACGTCGTATTTGCACCGTCAGGCTGCCCCCGCAGGTTGAAATAAAATTTCCCAGGCGAAATCGTTTCGAAGAAAGGGAAAGTCGAAGTTCGCGCAGAAATTTCTGCAGAATTCGTTTCTTTCAATTCGCAGGTCCTCGCGTGCCGC